ATGGGGAAAAATTCCCCAAAAACAAAAAAAAAGAAAATTTTTAAAAAAAAAAAAAAAAAAAAAAAAAAAAAAAAGAAAAAGAAAAAAAGGGGGGGGTTATCTAGTCTAAAACATGGATAAACTCAGCTATTATACTCAAAAGACAAAACCCACAGATTATTTTTCTTTTTAACAATAAGCAGTTTTCTAACTCAAAAGTTAGGCACTGATTTTTTTTTAATTTTTATATGAAGATCATAATAAATTCCTGCCACTGCCATGAGACCAACTGCTTTCTTTTTCTTGCGACAACCAGCTTATTTATGGTGTGGACCATAGGTGTCTCAAAGTTGGAACAAGTGGAACAACTTCTTTCTTTAAAACTACAGATGTGTTGTTTTGCAACCCCATTTTTTCAGTCAAATAAATCTGACCACTTCCTGCAGACAAACTCATGTAAATTCTCTATGTACTTTTGTAAAAAAAAAAAAAAAAGAAAAAAAGATAAAATCTACTTTTAACAATTAGTGAAAGGCTAATGTGTCATGGCTACTCTTGCTCAAGAAAATGAATGCCACTAAAAATAAAAAGCAATTGTGGCGAGGTTTGTAGTTTAAAAAAGAGTTTAACTTATAAAAATAACTGACATATTCTCTGGGTTGATGTCAAACAAATTCCCTATGCATGTAAATGTTATTTTTGTTGTAGAAACACTTGTTCAATGCAAACAATCAGACCAACCACAACCCAACTACAGCAAAGCACTTTTAGGAAGCTATTTTCTCTGGTCATGATGTAATTAAGGATCTATGGAGGTCAAGTTGAGGTCTGAAGCTTTTCAGACGAAAATGCGTATAGGATTCCTAGAAATGCCAACCAAAGCCTCCATTTAACTCCATTCAAGAAGATTTACTTCCCTTAAATGGTGACGTACTGCTGGAAAAAAAAAAAAAAAAAAGTGTTTCGTTGAGTCAGACGTAGGAAAGACTTTCAGGTGTGATCGCCTCAAATTCAGCCTCGGTTTGCAAACTTTAAAAAGAATATAGAAGTCGAATCCATACATGTAGAGCCTGGGAATTACGTTGATCTCCCTGTTAGGGATATATATTTGTGTAGCTCTGTGCATAAAGGAAGAAGAATATGGTACAAAAAAAAAATATTGATCCTTTATTCATCTCATTATCCACAAAACTAGATGCACAAAATAGAAATGTAGACCAAAATCTCTCTAAAAACAAGCAAACTGACAATTATATGCCATAAAAGTATAAAAGATATAACATGTCTTAATGAGGATATTACAATAAATTGATGCCATGCCTTTATTCTCAGGACTGATTCAATATAATACCTTGTAAAAGTATTTTTTTAAGGGTAAAGAATGAACCCTTAAAAGAATGAACTGATTTCTACTTAATCTTGTTCAATTGTTGTACCTATAACAAACTGAGAAGTAAACTGGAGACTCTTCAACTTAGCAAATTTTCACATTAACTGTGTGGCCAGGGTCGAAAAAAAAAACAAACAAACAAAAAAACATACACATCTAAGTCCATCCCATTTTTCTGCTCTTAATATTGTAAAGGGCTGGTGTGACAACTGTTACCAACACATTTTATCATATGATAGCGCATTCAGAAATAACCTCAAATGCATAGATTAATAGTGCTCTTTAATTTGACATACTGCAAGAGATAATTCAGACTAACACGAGCTATCTCAGCAATTCATCTTATTGTCATTTTTTAAAATGAGTAGTAGAGGACATAAGCACTTAATGGAGCATTGAGAGAAGAAAAATCGCCATGGCCCAGTTTTGGAACCAGTAAAGAACTTGAGGGCACCCACACAGCTTCCCAAAGTGTGTACCTCCTCACATGCTTGGCAGTGGCAAAATGCAAGCACCTAAACCTCCATTCAAGCATTTGATTAAATTCTTTGAAGGCAACCTTCTGCTGGTAGAAGTTATTCATTGAAGTCACTTAAAATTTACTTAGAATGGGCCATGAGTAGACCATAAGTATATAAGTAGGTTACTGAAATACACATTAAATGGTTGATGGATTAGGGTTAGGGTTTAGGTTATGATGGGTGGGACTTGACAATCAGTACAAAACGACGCCTGGCAGACGACTCCTTCTTGTAGCATGCCTATCATCATGGAAAAGCTGGGCGCAAAACAACCAATACTACAAATGTGTAAAATGGTGAAACTATCTATAAAGCATCATCAAGTCTATTTCATTTTTTAGTGAGTGTAAAATTTCACAACTTGTTCTTATGATTTTGAGACATCCACCAATTTTCTATCGCAGGCCATACAGAGCTGTTTCGCCTTGGTAATTAACATCAGAATCACCCGGTTTGATGCAAGCTCAAATGTGACCTCCATCAAACTTTATGAAGTATCGGTAATGTTCTGTTAGGCATATTTGTCCATTCTCTGATTTATCATCCCATTTTGCTCAATTCTATGCTTTGTCTGAACAAAATGTCCCATGGCAGATGTCACCTTTGGTTGATTTGTACTCAACTTGTTTAGAAAGGAAACAACCTAAACCACAAAGATATAAAAAATGGAGGAATGGAAAAAATGACCAGCACCCACCTACAAGGCGCAAGCACCAAATTCCAGTTTGTTTCTTTTGGTTGCGAGTGTATGATTGGATTCCTGACTGTTAATCGATTTAGCTAATCACACATTTTCTTAATCTGCTCGCTGGGAGTCAATGAGCAAGAGCTGGGGTGCAGCCCGAGCAGTTTACCAATTCATTTCAGGATACCACAGAGACACAACCGTTCTCATGCCTGCAGTCAGTTCACAGTAATCTTTTTGCACTGTGGGAGGAAATCAAATTATCTCGAGAACATGGAAACTCCACACAGAAAATCCCCAGTCAGGTGTTGACCCCAAATCCCTCTAGCTTCAAGGCAACAATGGAACAACTGTGCAGCTCTAGTCTTAACCATTTCGCAAGAGATTAAAAGTCTCCCATGAAGATGTGTTACGGCTCATTTTCTAAATGTTGATGCCACCTTTACTTTTTTACGATTCCTGGGTTCCGTGTGTGTTTCTTCATCCTACCTAAAATGATTTTAAAACTGCTTTCAAATATCTCTGGACTTTTTTTTTTTTTTTTTTACTTTTAAAAATGTTTCAGTTTCTCTTTCAGCAGTCTTAAAGCTGATTTCCATCTGTTTCCTCAGGTGGCAGAAGTGGCACAAATCTTGGACTTCCTCTCCACACAGACAGCTCTGCCAATTGTGGGCATCAGTGGCGGCTCCGCAGTTGTTATTCCATACAAGGTACTGTCAGTGCACCGACATGATGTCCGTGAATGATCTTTCAGCAGTGGAGCCAGCTACTCAAGCTGGCTCCACTGCTGATGTTGTTTTAAAAGAGCATGCAGAAATGGTGAATATATATGGCGTGTTTGTGTTTTGGTGTAATATGTAAACACGTCAGAAGCTGTGCTTGCTCTTCACAGACTCCTGTCTTACGTAGAATCTCTTTGCATTGACATTGTTCACTTTAGAACAACGTATGTAGGTCAGAGCGGTGAAAACTACTTTGGCAAGAAACTTGCTGCATGCAAATATTTGGATATGAGCAATACAGACATGTGAGGAACAGCCTTCGACCCTTGTTAGCTCGTTTAATCCCTGCCTGGGAAAAAGTCTGAGTTGTTGGCAACGAAACTTTGCATAGACAGACGACTTTAAGAGGCGATCTTGCCTTCAATCAATCATCCCGATGTACAAGGAGAGCGGAAGGGTTTTTTTCTGCTTATATGTAGCTTGTATCTCCTTGATGAATAGAGATGCAAAGCACTGAGCTGTGTAGTTATCGTAAAGAAAAGATTGATGACACCAGATGGATTTTTAATCTCCGTTTTGTCTCTACTTTGAATCAGGAAAATGGATTCATCCCTTCTTCTCCCACTTTCCGCTCATCTGACCTTTTTCCTTAGTTGCTTGAACTGCCACATTTGAGCACCTCGTATTTATAGAACCGACTCTCACATAGTGAAGCACATGCAAATAAACCCTGTCACACATGAGAAGACACACACACACGCAGGCAGAGAGGCAAGGCGAAGTATTCTTTCTCACACCTATCCACCAGCGAGGGTTCCACACTGAGCCGAAGTGTAGCTGTGCGTCTGTAAATAATGGATTCCGCATTTTTTAAACTGTGTTGCATTCGCCAGCTTCCTGTTAATCAAAAGTTATCCACAGATGTCAAGTTATATATGGGTATTAAAAAGGAGGCATCAGAGCTGCAGGGGGCTGATTGATTTACTGTATTCTGATGGCAAAGTGAGAAAGGCAGAGTGAGTGAGAGAGTGAGTTAGAGGCTGAGAGAGGAGAAAGATGCTCTGATGAAGCTTGGCTGACAGCTGCCTGCAGGCAGCGTTTTACTGTCTCACTGATAAGTCTCCCTCCTCTCTTTTGTGAGGGGAAACAATCATCCTCATTCTCACACTTCTTTTATGCTTTCTATTTCAGTTTTGTTCACCTCCCCTCTTAATTTGTGTCGTTTGAATTTGCATATTTTTTATTCTTGTAAAAAGTCTTTGACAAATGTAGATTTAACCCTTGTGCGTGCGAGGACTGAGGCAAACGTAGAGGACTACCGCAAATGATACAAGTTTTACGTGTGTGGGGTCGGTTGGACCCCATTTCTACATACAAGGGTTAAGTAAGTTCATCCTTATGCAGCTGCTAAACTCTTTAAGGCGTGCCCTGGAAATATGCCGGAGGCCGACACTCCTCTGTGATCCCTTGAAAATCGGGAATTGCAAAACATTTGCTGATGAGGAGTCTGCAGTCTCTCTGTTCATTCAGTCTGCCGTCTTTGGTTGCATCTTCTCTGTGTCCAATGAAAAATAAAGTTTCAGTAACTGTCATTACAGTTCTGTAAAAAAAACAAAAATCTCAAGACACACTTGGACTAAAGCAACTTTAACAGAAATTACTATTACTATGAAGTTGAGATCTGGACTTTGAAAAGTTGGTTGCAATTGCAACTCCTTGACTCATTTCTTTTATATTTAAACTGTCATATATTTGTAGCTCTTTTTTTTGCAATGATTGCCCATAATTTTACATTTGACTTCAGAATACTTTAATATATGACGTCACAGTGGTCCAGTTAGTATCAGTGTTGCTTTACAGCAAGAAGGTCCTGAGTTTGAATCCAGACCTGGCCTCTTCCTGCAGGTTCTCCCTGTGCATTTTCATGACATCACGCCCGGGTCGACGACTCTGACAGAGCTCAGTGCAAAGTGTTATGTTATTGATCAGAAGTTTGCTGCCATGTTTAATCCAAACATGGACTAGTACATCAGTGTTAACATTTGTCTTCAAGTAGTTCTCTTCCACTATCCAGGTTTTGTCTGTGCAGGAAACAGAAATACTTTTGTGGAGCGTTTATATGTGTGATTCTTCACTAAATAACTACCAAGAGCTCTGGTAAATTTTAGCCATTTTAGTCAAATGGCTAAAATCTCCTGGTTGGAAATATCAGCACAGTTGCCCACTGGGGAGGCTGTTTGCAGAAAAGCGCAGCCCCCTCCCCGTGACTGCATTGTAGAAACAAAATAGAAGATGCAGGAAGGGAGGGAGAACACTGGCAGGTAGCGCTGTGACATATACAGAAGTAGGAGGTGTGTCCGTCAGGTGATCTACACTGTGTCAGAGTACAAGTGACCAAGAAGCATGTGACTGTGTGTTGACTGTTTGACTTCGAATGAAGTATGTGGGACGGAGCATTAATTGATATACTGATGTCACACCGTTGCAATCTACCGTTGTGGGAGCCAGACACAGTGCCAGAGAGAAAATAACTCTCTGGCATGATGTGGAACCATACAACAACAGATTAAGTATGAATATCTCATCTTTCTAAAGGACAGTCCTTCCAAACAAGGCATACTTGTCAAATTTGTTTAAGTTCTGTCAACAGCTTTGACATCTAGCAAGCTATAAAAATGGCTTTAGAGCCCTCCCAGGTTAATGGGCATCAGCAGCTGATTCTTTGCATTATTGCCAATGTATATCCTGCTTTGCATTGTACTACTGACACACATTTGAATGCTCCTTACTAGCAAAACCAAAACTCCTACTTTGAAGTTTTCTTACTGGTGATCAAATCCATTTGATCACTGGCTGATGGTTTTTTTTTTGTTTTTTTTTTTCACTTGGTCTTTGTGATCTGTGATCCTGGATACCTGGGTCAACGTGTAGCATTACTTTCTTCCCCGGTTCTCAATATTTTTATCTACCGTAGTTTGTCACTCCTATATAATGTCTGCCATGTTTTTATAAGTATTATTTTGGGACTCGTTCAAGTCTTGACCATTTATTGATTCTCTGTAAGTGAGAGCAGCAGCAAACAGACACACGGTTTATCCAAGGCCCTGGTGATACTATTTTTCTTAAGATGTCACAGTGTTTAGTGACAGCTCTCTGTGTAGCACCTCACTCCTCCCTGCACACTCTCACCTTTACTGTATTTTCCTTCCTTGAACGTTGGTTTGTTGTCAATAGGAAGACAAAAGCTTATCAGCAGTGTCTGGCTCAATGGGGCAGGTGGATTGGATGAAGAAAGATGCATGCATGAGCGCACGATTCTCTTAAGGGATAAAAGAGCTCAATGCTACTTAATTATCAATAGCCTGATGATGATGATGATGATGAAAGCCTTTGATGATGGTTTAAAAAGAAGCGGCAGCCGCCCGGGCCGCCTGTTTATGGTTGCTGTCTCAATGATCTCTTTCTATTGCGAACAACAAGGAAGGAGGGAAAGAGACAAAGATGAAAAGATTGAAGGGAGGAGAGGAAGTGTGTCCTTTGTCATCCGGTACATACATCAAGCAGGAGCGAGGAGGAGGAAATGAGAAAGCGTGAGGAATGGCTGAGAAAAAGGCATAAAGACTGTTCAATGGGCCCTGCAAGGGAAGAGGAAAAAACACGCACCTCTCGAAGGAGTTGGAAATCATAGCCTGGATAAGTTTCCTCGTTCAGTTTCTCTACTCTTAGCTGCTGGCAGTCCTGGTAGCGTGTTGGGTGATCCTTAGAGGGTGCTGCCTCCAGATGTGTGGTCAGTTATGGAGAAAACAACAAGAAACCTCAGCACGTAAAACAAAACTTTCAGTTAACTGCAAAAATATTCCACAGTTGGATAAATTATGGCAACACTCTTCAAACAGTCCCAGGTAGACCCTTTCGGTCCTAAACAAAGTAGGGGATAATGGAAAACAAGCATAATCTATAAAGGTATCAAAGATGAGCTTTTCCACATTTACTCTATTGACTATAGGTCTCTACTTTGACTGGGACATTGTTATAAATGAGCATGCTTTACTTTGAATATCTGGTTGTATGTTTATGATTTATATTCTGCTGGAAGGGCAACGAACCACCACCCCAATCCTGAATTTTGCAGCCTGTAAAAGGTTTTCAAGAATTGCCCTGATGGTTGCTCCATCTGCTTTCTACTATCAAAAAAACAACCACAAAGTGTGACGCTGCCACCACCACGTTTCACTATAGGGACTATGTCATAAGTGTGCAGTGATGATTTTCTACCACACAGTATTTCACAGGGCAGTTGAAAACGTTTGTATTGGTTTTATTTCACTGGATCATTTCATTTTTACATGCTTGCGTTGTCCCCTGATTCGCTTGAGGCAAGTTGAAAATGGGCCTCATAGTTTACTCGTTTCAAGAACGGCTTTTCTGTTGCTTTCTCTCCATGAAGGCCAGATTTGTTGAGCGCACAACTAGTTGTCCTGTCATTAAATTCCAAATCCTGAGCTTTGGATCTCTGCAGCTCCTCTATAATCATCATGGGCATCTTGACTGTATCTGTGATCATTTCTCTATGATCTGGCCAGTCAGTTTAGATGAATGGATAAAATGCAACACGGCTTTAGCCCTCATCTTTATTATTTTTACAAAAAGAAAGATCAACCTTTGCTGTTCACCACATTTTAAAATAAAGAAGCATCTGTGCTTTAGCAAAAGCTACTAAAATGTACTTCTTGTTGTGATTATAAAACTGAGAATAAACAAAGCGACTATTACTACTGTATCTACTAACAAAGTGGATGATGTAGTTGCTTCAGGGACAAATGTAAGCCCTGGGAGCTAGCTACATTTGAAGGTCACACTGAACTTGAGATGTTGGATTGCACTGGTTCAAGGAGCTAGATGTCTCTAACTGGATTGTGGTGTTTGTTTCTTTTTTGAGGGGGTTGTTGGTTTGCTTATGTGGTCAAACTGACCTGCTTTCTCTGTTT